TGCTAGACAACAAATAGTTTGCCACATCTTTTCTTTTTGTAAGGGTAAGGTTTAAGAAATTATCAAGACAAAAAACAAGTATAAAGATACATTTACATACTTATACTGTGAATGGTATATACACCATTTTCACATGATTATCATCACTCCAGTCCCCATATGAAATTTACCTACAGCTAGTGTATATTTATAGATTATCGTTGATCATCTCAACGAGATTGGTTTTCTCGCTTGAGACGGTGATAATCTGTTTATCGCTATTTTACCTATGACGACGTTGTCAATTTCATTAGCAACGCCACGTGCCCCCTTAGTATCTTACGATAATTTTCCTATCACTCGACTCCGTTTCATATCACTCGACTCCGTTGAGGAAGGCAATTATCAGTCAGGAAGATCAAAGGAAAATTTCGTAAAATAGCGATAAACCATATTATAGGTCACTTCTTGGCTGTGTAATGAATATATCTTACCAACAACATTTTGGTTCATTGTAATTTCTTATAACTTTAAATACTTCATATGCATTATAGTTCAAATACATCTATGCAGCATGATGTAAACACTATAAGTTAATGTAATGCATTCTAGTTCAAATAACATTGCTGTAGAACTTAGTTATAGACTCAATACAATACTAATTTAAATTAATAATACTGACAAAGCCAACAGTATAGGTTTTTCATTAATTCATGTCCTGTAAAAGCTGTTAATGGAATATACACCGTCTTTATATGACCACTTTGCTTGGCTTGAAACTATATTACAGAAGCTATAATGAGTTGATGTCATCACTAGAATCGCCAGATGAGAGAGAAAGTTCTGAAGAAGAACCAATGGAAACTGATTTGTAAGACACCAGTACATTGTATAATGACATTACAGATATGTGAAAGTTTTAATTTTCCGTCAATATTTATTAAGCTCATTTCACGTGTTTTTTTTTTGTTTTTTTTTTTTATAAAAACAGATAAAGCTAGAGGATACCAATAAAGTATTTTAACAAATTGCATATTTTCCTATACACAACATATTTTGGCAAAAATATTTTTTGTTAAACACTCTGGATCATTTTTTATTTGCATGATAGATTTTTTTTTAATTGACTTTTTTGAAACCACAAGGTCAATTGGAACCAAACTTGTTATAAAATTGAGAATGGAAATGGGGAATGTGTCAAAGAGACAACAACCCGACCATAGAACAGACAACAACAGAAGGTCACCAACAGGTCTTCAATGCAGCGAGAAATTCCCGCACCCGGAGGCGTCCTTCAGCTGGCCCCTAAACAAATATATATACTAGTTCAGTGATAATGAACGCCATACTAAACTCCAAATTGTACACAAGAAACTAAAAATAAAAATAATACAAGACTAACAAAGGCTAGAGGCTCCTGACTTGGGACAGGCGCAAAAATGCGGCGGGGTTAAACATGTTTATGAGATCTCAACCCTCCCCCTATACCTATAGCCAATGTAGAAAAGTAAACGCATAACAATACGCACATTAAAATTCAGTTCAAGAGAAGTCCGAGTCTGATGTCAGAAGATGTAACCAAAGAAAATAAACAAAATGACAATAATACATAAATAACAACAGACTACTAGCAGTTAACTGACATGCCAGCTCCAGATTTCAATTAAACTGATTGAAAGATTATGTCTTCATCATATGAATATCAGGCACAATCCTTCCCGTTAGGGGTTTAGTATCATACCATCATAACATATATGAGAAGAACATAACCCGTGTCATGCCAACAACTGGTTTTTAAATAAATGTGTTTAGTGCCGATGCAAAGACCCTATAAATGAATCAATATTAACGCCAAAATATGCAATCTTTAATGACCTGATAACAGTATCGTAACTATATCCCTTCTTAATAAGTCTATTTAAAGGTTTTGTTAGCTTCAGAGGTGAATACTGACATTTTTGTGCTTTATAAAGAATATTTCCATAAAAAATTGGATGTGAAATACCTGAACGTATAAGAAGTCTGCATGTTGAGCTATATTTACGAATGATGTCCTTATATCGATGATAAAATTTAGTAAATGTTTTGACTAGTTTGTGATATCGAAAACCCTGGTGTAATAATTTTTCAGTAATACATAAATTTCTCTCGTTAAAATCTAAAACATTGTTACATACACGAGCGAATCGTACAAGTTGAGATATATAAACACCGTAAGATGGTGACAAGGGAACGTCACCATCTAAAAATGGATAATTATCGATAAAAAATGAAAAATCATCTCTTTTATCATATATTTTAATATAAAGCTTTCCGTTAATGATATAGATATCAAGATCGAGGAAAGGGCAGTGGTCATTGTTAGCATTAGCTTTATTTAAAGTAAGTTCAACAGGATAAATTTCTTTAGTATACATACTGAAGTCGTCATTATTGAGAGCCAAAATATCATCCAAATATCTAAAAGTATTATTAAATTTGTGTATCAGATGTTGTTTCGATGGGTCTTTGCTGATTTTTGTCATAAATTGTAACTCATAGCAATACAAAAAAAAGGTCCGCAATAATAGGTGCACAGTTAGTCCCCATTGGAATTCCGATAACCTGACGATATACGGAATCTCCAAAGCGAACAAAAATGTTATCTAGTAAAAATTCAAGGGCATATATAGTATCAAAGCATGTCCAATTGACATGGTTTTTTTGTTTATTGCTACTAAAAAATGACCTAAAAGAGTTTGAACATATATATTCACATTCTGACTTTTTAAATGCCCATTTAATTAGGTGTGTGAATTTTTTCTTAATGAGAATGTGAGGCAATGTGGTATATAGGGTAGAAAAATCAAAACTTTGAACAGATTCAAAATCACCAATATATGCATGTAATTTATCAAGTACTTCCAACGAGTTCTTGACACTCCAAAAGTAATTAATTCCACTATATGAATGGTTCTTTGGTGGTCAAAGATGGCAGCTGCTAAGTAACTAAAAAAAGAAATTTCCTTAAAAGACTAAAACAGCTTTTTTTTTCAGCAAAATGGCCTTAAATTTTAACTATAGCCTCATGAAAGATGAGTTTGACATTATATATTTGGAATTCTTATAAAAAATATACAGTTTGCTTATCTACATACATATGAACATTATCTATCTTTTTGTAATTTTTAAGAGGAAGATATATTCTTTAAGTGTGCTTCATGATCATATAACTTTATCAATAAATAGTGCAATGTCTATATTGTATATGCAGACCTCCTCCTGTTAGAGAATCATGTGATATCAGGGACACCATACTAGAATGGAAGTTGGAATTAATAGACCTTGACAATTTCCAAACAATTAAAGTAAGCAGAAGACCAGAATCACTATGGGAACATTCTCTACGATGTTTTCAGAGATCTAGTTTTGATGTCAGAAAACTGTTAAAGGTATTTCTTTAGATCATATTTCTTTTTCATTGAAATGCTGACTTCCCAAAGAACGTTTATGTCAAGCAAAATACTGTCCTATGAAATATTGTCCACCAATACAATATTTCATGACTGTGTATCATGAAATATTGTCCTGATCTATGAAAAATGTCCAGAGAAGGACAAATTTTCATTGTGAAATTTTGTCTGTATATAGACAATACTTCACAGATGAAACTACTGAATGGATTTTAATTATGCTCATATAAAGTTAGTCTACATAGATTGAAGTTGTTCACCATGCATTTATATTTTCCTTGGAGGGTCTTGATAGATTTTTAAAGGGGGTCCCAATTGGGTTTACTACAGGTTGGTATGGGCGGTAACCTACAGTGATACTATGAAACTACCGAATGGATTTTAATGACACTCATATCTTATAGGGATCCAAATTGGGTGTACTATACATGAAGGTTGGTATTGATAACCCCCCTAAATGAGTTTCGTGGCATTCAGGGTCTATGGGATTGATTTTTGTTGGTCTATAACGCAGTAGTGTTATTGTAAGATGCAAACAACTATGTGCAAAATGGAGATATTTGTGAGTCAGCCGCTCGCTTGGATCTATGTTTTATATTACCTTCAATTTTAATCATGTTGAGGACTTGTAAGCACTATTTATTCCAAACTTGTTATCAATTTAACAAGTAGGTAAAACAATGTTCATTTTGGTCAAAATGCCTTGTTAAAATAACCTGCAAAATGCATGTCCATATTAAAAGGGATTCACCCATTAATGTTTACTATTAATATAATTCCTCAACATTGTACAAATGTATCATTGATTATCGGTTCATAAATATTTATGCAGAATGTATTTTTCAGGTTGAATTCAGGCATGAAAGTGGCCAGGATGAGGGTGGTTTAAGGAGGGAGTTTTTAGAAATTCTCTTTAGACAGATGTTGTGTTCTTCACTTCTTAAAGGTATTTAATTGTTTTAAGCACCGTTTTTGTGGTTACATATAAAATTGAGTATGGAAATAGGGAATGTGTCAAAGAGACAACGACCCGACCATAGAGCAGACAACAGCCGAAGGCCACCAATGGGTCTTCAATGCAGCGAAAAACTCCCGCACCCGGAGGCGTCCTTCAGCTGGCCCCTAAACAAATATATGAATACAACAAAGCCCACATTTCTTTTCAAACATACATGTAGATAGTTTATTTAATCAACTTACATAATTTTAGCTCATTATCTTAGAAATGCTAACCATATGTTCATTATAATTGATTTACAGTCTGTTTACGTATACAGTGAAATCTGTCTAAACTGAACAGCCTTGGGACTGAAATTTTTGTCCTGAGTAAACAGATATTAAGTTAAGTAAACTGAACAGCCTTGAGACTGAATGTTTTTGTTTGAAGTAAACAGATATTAAGTTTATACGGGATAAATTACCAGAGAAATTTATATTTGTGGTCAAATAAAGGTGTTAGGTTAAGACTTGTTTCCGGTTCACTCAGGTTTCGGTTTAGACATGTTTCATTAGCTGTACATTGAATTTATTTGTTCAGACACAGGTGATGATTACGAAGTAACAAGTAACATGATGGGAATGGTTGATGGACATTTCCATACTTTTGGGGAAATGCTTGGTACCATTTTGATACAAGGAGGACCAGTAAGCCCAGCATTTCACAGATGATGATCAACTATGGACTGAAAGGTTTGGACAGTGCAACAGTTGACAGTGTACAAGATGCCAACTGCAAGAATATTATTTCGGAGGTAAATACTATATTCAATCAAACATTCCTCATTTCATGCTGGACTGGCAACAAACTCGGCCACCAAATACAGTTTTTGTTATTGATTGGTTGAAAGTAAAAAATAATCTTCTCTGAAACTACAATGCAACAAACCTGGCCATTATAGGCAGTTCTTGTCTCATATTGGTCAAAATTTTAAAATCTTCTTTGAAACTACAAGGCCAATTAAATGATTTGTAACTTTGAGGATTGATATATGGAAGATCCTTTACAAATATGCTTCATTTCATGCTGATTTGACAACTATTCTGGCCCTGTTACGTACCATCTATATAAATTTATCTTTATTTATGTATTTTTTTTTAAGGTTACTTTATAATTCGCAACATTCATTTTGTTTTTATATAGCTACCATATAACAATACTGGAGTGTCATTTCTTTTCTTTTTGGTAAAAAGACATTCTCAATTTTATTCAGTCTTAAGGATGTACTTAGGTGAGGTTTTGGAATTCGTGTCGGATTTATGGACTCCTTGGTTTTTTCCCTACGATATAGGGTAAAATATTTTGCCCCATAACACCCAATTTTCTTTTCATATAAGACTGCAATAGATAATAAAAGGTCATTAACCAAAATTAAAGCAGATTTTTTATTTCTTTTCTTTGGATTTGAGACCTAAATAATACCAATACAAATATAAGGTAAAAGTCCGAGTCAGCCTTTTCCCGCCATTTTTTAAAACTCAAATATCCCAAAAAGGAGCTACATAACCTATACATATTTATAGATTATTTTGCTCCTTAACTAATACTCTTTCCACTCATAGCATCAATTTGAAATTCTTGATTTTCTAAGTTTCACCTTAGTACATCCTTACATACTATGGATATATTTACAGATCCAGGATGCTGATTATCCAGAACGTCTCATGGAAGATGAATCAGTGATGAATGTATTGGAAGCTGCTGGGATTTGTACAATACTAAACCCAAAGACAAAATCTTCAACAGTCAAAGCACTGATATTGAGTAACTCTGACATTTTGAGAAAACAACCAATGCTTGATGCATTTTGGGAAGGAGCAGAGTGTGTAGGATTAAAAACTAAAAGTTACTACAAAATAAACAAGGTAAAATGTGATTTAAGCTTATCTCATTACTAGGTTTCATAAATTAATCATCATGTCCCATTCATCAAAATTTCTTTCTTAAAATTTGTTTCTTCTCAAATAGAGCTGAATGTTACCAAGCAATGCAGAAACATTCATTATGAGATATTGATAAAATATTTTTAGACTCTTTCAATGTTCAAGATAGCTGTAAGTATGCCATAAAAGTCTAGATTTTTCCAGTTGTTTAATATTACATGAATACATTTGTATTATCTTTCAACACTAAAGTCACATTGTATAAAATATAAATGCTTATTCTACTGCAATCGGATAAATGTTTTCGTAATGATAGTCTTACATTCTATAGTCATGCTAAAAACAGTCAACTTGTTGATATTTTTTAGGTCAGCTTGAGAGAATTTTATGTCACAGATTTGGTAAGCCACCAAAGATATCTGCCGAAATCCTCATTGAAATAGTGGATGTCAGCACATTTAGAAGATCTGGCAGTAATGCCAGGCATAATTCAGAGGATGTTGATCAAAATTTTGAAAGTTTTGTGCATGATTGTGAAGGTATATATATTCACCGACTGGTTGTTGATCGTCCAAGCAAAACCTTAGTGTGAGAAACATATTTCACCTGATATAATAACAAAACAATTCCCATCTCGCCTTAATATTTTTTTTACCTTTTTTACCTGGAATTCATAGCTAAGGCGAAATTGGAACACACCTTATAAATGACCAAAGCTGATATTAAGTAATTTGTTCAAATAAAATTCATTAATTAAAATAATTAAAAAGGATTATGTGTTTTAGTATTATATAAAGTATTTAATAACTCTAAAAAGGGTACTATATTTTTTGATGATTTTGCCAATAATGAGAACTCGGCTTGCTTGACAAAAAAATAATAAAAAATCTTCTCTAAAATTACTGGGACAGTTGGAACCAAACTTGACATGGATGATCTTTGGGTGGTCCAGTTCCAAGTGCCATTGTTAAAAAAATATATTTTCTTAAAAACACATTTTGGCATAATTGGCTCAAATTTGAACTGCAGTTCTAGTAGATGAACATATTTTTGTTTTGGTGGAAAAAATATGTATTTTTTGCTGATAAAATTTAGGTTAAATTTTTTTTTTCAAATATATTGACATTTACTGCCACAAAAACCTATAATTTTCATAAGAAGTATACATATGTAATTCTGGTCATAGGTAATTCAGGTGAGCTATTACAGGCTCTATGAGCCTCTAGTTTTTTTTTTTAAAGTTTTACTGGTATGTCATATTCTGATATTAGCTCATGATTAGTGAATGATAAAACAATAACTTGATCACTTATTGAACTGTTTGGTCATGATAGATTATTTTATATCTCTAGCTGAAAATTCAGACCTGAAATATGAAGTACTTCAAAAATTGCTGAAATTGGTGGCCAAATATAGTCCTTATCGTACTTTGTCCTTTCAGAACATTGTTAGGACATCTGTTTTGATTTTGTTGCAAACATTTTTGTCGTTTCATGAGGTCCTCAGGGAAGATTAGTGTTATAGCTAACTGTGTAACCCTCTTTAAATAAAGAATTATTATTTTTATATAACTATTAGGCATTCTAGGCAGAAGCTATTTTGACCATGCACATTTTCATAGTACATGTACTTTTCAAACGTAAATACTAAATTTCACTCTTCACAAAGAACCGGCAAAATAACAAATTGACTATATTACTGGTGCCAGCAAAATAGCCATTTCTATAGAAATGGGCTGTTTTGTTGGCTTGAATTAATATATTTTATTCAGAGCCTGCAAAAAAGCCACTGCCTTATTATTATTATTATAAGATTCTAATTTGGCCTATGAAATTCGACTTAATAAAAAAATTTAAGATACAAAATCAGGCTATACATTTTGGAAATATTAGTTTGCCTAAAAGTACAAATAATGGGTTAAAAATCATTTTTGAGCTAGAAAGACACTGCAGACTATCCATTTATCATTGTGGCTATGGAAAATTGAAGTTACATACTTTTACTCTTCAAAATTTAACCTATATGATATTCTAGAATGCTGCATACTATTTTTACAGTGGTATGTAGTTAGTAATAGACATTATTCTTTTTTCCGTAAATCATTAGATTTCCGCCAAATTCGAATCTTATCGCAACCCGTCCTTTGACAATATTTCAGCATTTCTCCATTTGTCTCTTGATTATTGGAGTAATAGCTTAATTCTGCCACCTTATTTTCACAAATTGTTAGGAATTCCAAAATTTCTTTTCATTTCGACTTTGATGATTTAATAGTAATTCTGTTGTTCAAGAGTTAAGGACACTTTGATAAACATGTTTTCTTCATTTGTTGCATATCGGTGGAAATTGATGTTTCTGTTGCCTGATTTATTTAAAATTCTTTGTTGCTATTAGGAATTATAATTAAAGCATCTACCATATTGTTTTTTTCAATTTGTGTGCTTGTTGTTCAAATTTTATAGGATTTTAATTTTCCGCTTACTTTTCTTGTCTTATTTTTTGGTATTTAGTGGTTGGAAGATTCAACAATTTATTTATAGTGGTGAGTCCAACAAATTTTAATTTAACAATTAAATTTTTATTTTTATCATAATTGATATATTTGTAGATGGAACGTGTACCTATGATGGAGGTGTTGTTAAAGTGGATGATGTTCTTAGATTTATAACTGGTTGCAGCACAGTACCTCCAGGAGGATTTGATGCTCGCTTCTCAATTGGTTTTACTGAAGAAAGAAAATATCCTACAGTTTCAACATGTACATTTGAAGTTGTTCTACCACTTCATTTAAAGAATTACAATACCTTTAAGGACATAATGATTGAATCTATTGTTTCAGGACCTGGCTTTGGTCAAATTTAACCTCTTAGTAAAAAACGTTTTTCTAACCGATATAATATATATATTCAAATGTACCTTATATACCATTCTGAAACTGTCTACCAGTACTTAAAAGTATCTGCAAAAAATATTGATTCTCTGCATAGGAAATATGTTTTTTAAAATGATTCAGTTTGTTTTTAGTACCCTACCGACGTAGTCGAAGGGGACTTTAGGTTTGCACTTTGTCAATCTGTCTGTCTGTCTGTCTGTCTGTCCATCTGTCAGTCCGGCAATTCAGTTTTCCAGACTTTTTTTCTTCATGTTTGAATATACTGATTTGATATTTGGTGTATTGTTTTATCATGACAAGTTACAGGTCAAGTTTGATTTTCGCGATTCTAGCTTTTCTCCTTGTTCAGTTAAACCCGTTCCCTGGAATTAAATTTTTGATGATATACTTATAAATTGCTAGATTTCTGTTCAAAGGGAAATAATTCATTTCTTAAAAGATTTGTAAAAGACCTTGTATTAAGATAATTGACATTTTGGATTGTTTCCTTTTCTTTAGTATATTGTTTGAATAATTTAGTAGTAGGTTTGTTTGTTTTTTTATGTAGTTTACACCATGACAAGTTATAGATCAATTTAAAATTTCTTTCCATTACAATGAATTTTTAACCGGTAGGGGACTATGTATTGCCATGCAATACCCACAGAATGCTTGCCATTAATGGGATAGTATGGCATCATTTGCTGCATTTACATTTGAACCAGAGAAAGATATTTTTGATGGTTTCCTTAGAACTTCAGAAAGTGCTGTTTTACCATGAGGGCAAGATTTTTTGTGAAAAATAAAATTATTAAGAGACAATCATTTGATGAAATTGGAAATTCTGTAATTAAGTATTAATTAAAACCTCCAGACAAATTATTGTTTGTCTAGGTACCATACACATGTCAAAACAATAATCAAATTGTTTCATTTTCAAATGATCCAAGGTATTGTTTTCACATATTTTTGGGGCACTCAAAATCATAACAGAATACATTTACATATTTTCTCTGAAGGCCACAAAATGGCATTTGAATTTGAAGGTGTGGTGCAGCACCATTAGCATTAACAATGGCTAGGGAAACGACTAAATTTGCTTACACTACCACTAGAGGATGTGTCCATTTTTCAAAGCTGTACCTTCAAGGATAATATTTTGCAAGTTGTACACCACCCCAAAATGGTGTGTCAATTGCAATTTCCAGTGAAGGCAGGAGTAATAATCACAACCATTGTTATGTCTTGCTCCCATTATATTCTTCTAATATTCATCTCTTAAAAACTAACTTCGCCAATCTTAATTTTAATTAAAATGCCTTCTTTCCCACTATTCTCTGGAGGTATCCTCATCAGATGTACTGCAAAGCATATAGCTTTTCTGTCTCGTCTGTGACAAAATTGCAAAAAGAGACATAGGTATTACTATTGGACTGAGGTGGTAGCGTAAATTATTTGTATAAAGTTTTATATTTTAGAAGGTAGAAGACATGGATGCTTCATACTTTGTTTAGAGATACCTTATGTTACAAAGTTTCCGTCTGTCATTGTTATGTGAATTTTTCATTTATTATGAGTAATAGGATAACTATATTTAGTATATGGATTCCTTGCAATGTCTACATGTCCATCAGACAGTGTTCACCTGATCTCAACCTCATTGCATGGATCAGTGATTAAGGTTAAAGTAATGTAAGTATGTCTGTTTCTAAGATACTTCATGTATAAGCAGTAGGTCAGCTATATGTGTTGTATGGAATGATTGTAATGGGTACATGCCAGTCTGGCACGTTTCATCTGACCTTGACCTCATTTTCATAATTGATTGGTCAATGTTATTTTTTGTGTTTTGGTCTTATCCTATAAGCAATAGGTCAGCTACGTTTGCTGTATGGAATGATTGTAAGGTGTACATTTCTTTCTGGCAGGTGTCATCTGTCCTTGACCTAATTTTCATGGTTCATCGGTCAATGTTAAGTGTTTTGTGTTTTGGTCTGTTTTTCTAATACTATATAAGACATAGGTCAACTATTTTTATTGTATGGAATGATTGTAAGTTGTACATGTCTGTCAAGCAGGTGTCATTTGTCTTTGACCTCATTTTCATGGTTCATTGGTCAATGTTAAGTTTCATGGTTTGGTCTTGTATACTTTAAGCAATAGGTCAACTATGTTTGGTGTATGGAATTCATTGGTCAGTGTTAAATTTTTCTGTATCAGTCTGCTTCTTACATGTTAAAAGTCATCTTTATTTCATGCAAGGAATGATTGTAAGGTGAACATGTTGTCTGGCTTGGTTAATAAGATTGATCTGATTTTCATGAATTATTGATAATTTCAGTCTATATTATACTTATAGTAAAACTTTATCTTTAGGACTATCAACATAAAACAAATCATGGTTAGTAAAGCAATCATTTCAGCGTGTGCACACTTGTTTTCAATTACAAACAAATATAAATTTGATTAATTCCAGATTAAAGATGTTTGCAGGGCATATTTATTTTTTATAGGAAACAAAAGAAAATAAACAAAATGACAATAATACATAAATAACAACAAACTACTAGCAGTTACTGACATGCCAGCTCAAGACCTCAATTAAACTGATTGAAAGATTATGTCTTCATCATATGAATATCAGGCACAATCTCTCCTGTTAGGGGTTTAGTATTATACCATCATAAAATATATGAGAAGAACATAACCCGTGTCATGCCAACAACTGGTTTTAGAATAAATACGTTTAATTCCGATGCAAAGACCCTATAAGTGAATCAATATTAAAGCCAAAATGTGCAATCTTTAATGACCTGACAACAGTATCGTAACTATATCCCTTCTTAATAAGTCTGTTTAAAGGTTTTGTTAGCTTTTGAGGTGAATACTGACATTTTTGTGCTTGTAAAGAATATTACCATAAAAGATTGGATGTGAAATACCCGAACGTATAAGATGTCTGCATGTTGAGTTGTATTTACGAATGATGTACTTATGCCGATGATAAAATTTAGTAAATGTTTTGTCTAGTTTATGATATCGAAAACCCTGGTGTAATAATTTTTCAGTGATACATAAATTTCTCTAGGTAAAATCTAATACGTTGTTACATACACATGCGAATCGTACAAGTTGAGATATATAAACACCATAAGATGGTGACAAAGGAACGTCACCATCTAAAAATGGATAATTAACGATAGGAAATGAAAAATCATCTCTTTTATCATTAATTTTTGTAGTAAGCTTCCCGATAATGATATAGATATCAAGATCGATGAAAGGACAGTGGTCATTGTTAGTATTAGCTTTATATAAAGTAAGTTCAACAGGATAAATTTCTTTTTCAAAATACATATTTTGGGAAGTTTTACATCATTTGTTAGCTCACCTAACTGAAAATAATGATTCATTTGTGTATATCAGTTTTCTTAAAATATTATAAGTGTGGTAGTATTATGTTAAGGGTTTTTGCTGAGTCCCTTGACTGATTCTTTCATATTTTGGTTCAATGTTACTATGCACAAAAATTAAGATTTTGCGGGTACTGGCCCTTATTGGAATAGCAAAAGAGGTGAGAATTAGACTTGATTAGAAATAGGTTTTGAAAAGTTATTGAGAGTAGAAAAATATTATATTAATAAAAAACACATTGGGTCCAGTTATGAAAAAGAAAAGGGCCCTTAATGGGAAAAACGGTGAAAATCAGAAATGCATAAAGCCATTCTTGTATTAGATCTATACAAAGGTATCAAAGTTCATAAGAAAGTGAATACAATTAAAAGGACTTCGAGTTATTTAGAAAAGACAAAACAAGAGGCCTTAGTTAGAGAAAAAAGTCAGTTTTAGCAAAAACAAGTGTACGACATAGCATGGTTGTATATTGCTGCCATTAGGCAGCGCAGGTTTTTCCAAATTACTTTTACTGATTTTTAAAAATAAGCAAATTGGGCATATAATTATTTTGACAAAAAATCATTAAAAAACTTCTCTGAAACAAAGACAAATTAGAAAAAAACGTCTTTCAAAGTCTGTGTTAGATCCCCCTGAAACATTCTGATCACAGCTAATTCAGGTTAGCGATTATAGGCTCATGGAAGCCTTTTGTTTTGTTATATTTTGAAGGTCACATGAGCTGTAGCCACTTCTTTGTAAATTGTGTATCATTAGTTTGTTCAGTACTGATGTTTTTGAAAACATAGTTTGGATTTTCTTTTGTATTTAAGATATGAAGATGTGTTTTGTTATAAAAAATATATATATTCATAAATAAAAATATTATTTTAATAAATGAAATTTGATTCACTCTTCACCAGCATATAGATTAGGGAAAATAGGAACTAGTCATAATTACACCAAAAGGTTAAGACATGCCATGAGGTTTTCCATCATTTGGCATTTGTCTGGTAAATTGTAAATTTTTCACATTTTACTCTTCTTACCAGAAACCGCTTAGGTAATTTGGGCTATTCAGCAATTTCAGCGAAATTAAGGACTGCAGAGTGTCACATAATCTCAGTTTATAACATCCTAAACTCAAATCCTGATAATAACCCCTGTATTCACCTAATGGGCCCTAAAAGTATTACCACATGCAAAACAAGAATGTACATAAAAGACCTGATACAAGTTCTGTTGAAATGCATCAGGTAGTTTAAAAGGAGATGCAAAGTTGCACCATTGAGTATTGGTTTTGTAACATTTATAGTGAGGTAAACCTCGCTTGAATAAAACATTTACACCTATAACTATGTCAACCTTTCTAAAAACAATGGAGTTCAAATGATTCGTTGCAATGTTGAAATCAGTTGTTGCAAGTTGCATGGTTAAAATCAATTGTTGCAAGGTATGATTTGTACAATCTTGAATATAAATTTATTCACAGCGCTTTTAAAAAAATGAAATTGTAACGAGGTTTGAATAGCTTTGTTACACTGTTAGAATAATTTAAAGAGTATATATATAGAAAGATGTGGTATGAGTGCCAATGAGACAACTC